TGTGTACAGCGAGGCCCAGCAGAATCACATCACCACCAACAGCCAACTGGAGAGTGCTAGAAACATCCCTGCTCTGAAAGCCACCAATAATTTTCCCAGCCTACCAATAAAAAAACATTGTTGCTGATTTTCATAGTGAGTTAATGAACTTGACACTCAATTACAGCATCAGCCAACTGCTACCCCCCTCTCTTCTCACTTGTATTTGGACAATGACAAAGAACACTTGACTCCCAACCAAATATTCGCTAAAAGGAGACATTTCAACAAACACAAACACTTGAAACAGCAAAGCAATAATCAAGCTATTGCACTGTTTTAGTTGGTAGCATTCCAGCACTTCCATCGGGATAATCCAGCTGACATTTGGCCTTGAGACAGGACGGATGCCTTGTAACGCAGCATCTCTGCTGAAGGGGTATTCTGAAGTAAATCTGAGATTTGAAAATGTCTTTTTCAGCAGATAGATAAACAACCAAAGGAACTGGCTGCCCAGGCATCAGGCAGAGCAGCATCAGCAGATACCTGCAGCTCGGATACGGGCACCCTGAAGGCATTTACAGAGAAACAAGCACTGCAATAAAGAATCTGAAGAGGTGATCTTGTAAATATTTTACATTTTGCTGGTCTGCCTCCAAGCAGAGAGCGAGCACCAGCAGACACAGAGCAGAAGAAAGCAGGGTAATGAGAGGAATGCGACCAAAGAAATTGGACAAGGCTTTCTGAAACAATTCTGCAAAGCAGATGCACCAGTGGTCAAGTCAGAAGCCATTAAAAAGTTATGGATCTTGGAAAAGAGAGGGCCATGCTACGTCTGGGTTTCAGCGTGGGCTGCAGACAAACCTCACAGAGGAGACAAAGCAGAAAACAAGCGGGGGGCAGAAAAGATGCACCCGAGCACCAAGTCAGCAAATGGGGCTCCAGCTGCAAACTCCCTTTGCCCTTATAAGCAACGAATGGAGATGAGAAAGGCAACACCAAGTGCTGTGCAGCCGGAGCAGTCAGGAGAGCTGTTTTATACACACAAACCACCGAGCCATCCTTACATATCTTTATTGCACACATCCATCCTTATACCTCTCATGGGATGAGGCCAACTTCCCTTCTCAGGATAAACTATTTCTACTCATTGCTGCCAAATCCATCTGTTCCCAAGACAACTTTTGTTACTGTCTAACACAGATACTTTGGAAGGGTAAATCTTCCTCCTGTCCCCTGACCCTGCTTGCTGGATCACTTAAGATATTCCCGGGTGTTCTTCCAGCCACTAAAAGGCACATTTCCACCCAAAAATCTCCATGATAGCCTACAGGCAGCTCAGGGCAACACCAGTTCCTACTCCAGCTGCTCAGCACGGGAGCATCTCCAGCACCTATGTTTCATTTTCAGGCTTACTGGCAGCCAGTTCAGAAGTTATAAGTGGCATCGTGAGTGAGAATGCCAGAGGTGAGCTAATTAGTGGGTGGCTGTCTGGAGAAGCAGCTTCCCCAGGCTCTGCTTTGGGTACACAGTGTAGGATGACTGATCTCAGCAGTGCGAGGACGTTTGTAAGCACAGATTTCTGGAATACATTCACACCAACGATTTGGGGGGAAATACTCTGATTTATTCACTGGCATGCTTTGCCATTGGCGTGGCGTAAATACACGCACACGTCTGGACACATCTCTATTTTTGGAGCTCCATGCACAGGGTGCTGGGTCCACAGTTACTCCATTGACAAACAGGAAGCGTTCTTCACTGAGCTGGAAGGCTTTCAATCCTCCTCTTATTGTAAACATTATCTGCCTTCAAAATCCTTAATGTGTTGCAGATGTGACAAACAATAAAAGACCTATCATAAAAAAAAAAAAAAAGCTTGCCATCTCCGTGTTTCCCACTGGGGCACCATAATAATGAATTTATTAGCATATAGCACTCACCAACATATGTTTATAGTCACTCACAAACTTTTGACTTGACAGTTTACAAGTATGTTTAAATCATTAGCTTAAGTTGAGTGTCCAGTTATTACAGGGTCATTATAAATAGGAAACAAAGGTAGCATTTTATACAACAGGCGATAAATCAAAACTAGGCTGTATTCAAGAGTGACTTTGTTTGGGGATTTTTTGTTCTCTTTTTTTTTTTTTTTTTTAGATCTCCACATTTCCCAAACCTTTGGAGACCCAAACTGCAGAGCAGGAGAACCAGAGAATGATAGAATCATAAAGTCTGGAAAAGACCTCTAAGATACCAAAGTCCAGCCCACCTCACCAAGCCCATAACCACATCCCTCAGTGTCACATCTCCCCAGTTCTGGAACACTTCTGGGGATGTTGACTCCACCACCTCCGTGGGTCACCTCAACCACCACCACTGACACAGCATCCCCAAGGACCTGCTTTTTGGGTGGTGCACATCTCATGCAAAGACCTTGGGCATGGCCAATTCTGCCAACGTTTTCATCCAACCTCCATCCAAACTCAGTACCCACTTGCACACTAAATACACTGCAAATACTCAGCAGCAACACCACACTCATGTGTCTCGTTAAAGCCTTTATCTTACACAGTGATCCCACTGCAAATGAGATTTTAAGGCAGGGCCAAGAAGTTGTGGCACGCTGTCCAGACGTGGCCCCCAGCCTCGCTGTGCAGGACCACATGCTTTTTGCTGTGCTGCCCTTGGATAACAGGAGGACATGTGCAGCAGAGCTGCATGCCAAGTCTATGTGTAAGGCAGAGCCAACACTCAGCAAGGGAGGAGTTCTCTGCTGCTATCATGGGGCCAGGGATATTTCCTCTCGAGCTGAACCAGATTGCTAAGAAAAAGAAAACCAAGCATCCAAATGCATTCCCTTACTGCAAACCTGAGGGTGAGCAGGGAAATGCATTTGAAGAGGATTTGCATGCTTGATCACTCTGCTAGGACACCTGCACTGCTGGCCATCCAGCCTCGCTGCCTTCATGCTGCCGCAGGGAACCTCAGGAACTCAACCCCAGCCACTCCCAGTCTCTGTGTCTCTATTACAGGGCAACCACCTTGGGAAGGAGGGAGACAAAGCCACGCCAAAAGCAGAAGTTCATTGCAAAAAGTATTTCCAGATTTCAAAGCCTGGCATCATTTCAAATCGGCATGCTAACCTAGAATTTAGAATTTGTGGAACTGGGGGGAGATGTGGAATGGTTTCTGGTCCCTTTTATTTTGTGTTACGTACATATGATATGATGGAAAAAAAAAATAATTGAAAAATATCCCTTTCAAAGTAAAAAAGAAACATTCTCAGAATGTTGAAAGTATTTCCACACCGTCAGCAACTTTTCCCAGGCTTGTTTCCAACATAAAACTTGAACAGTGTCATTGCTGTCTATCCAATACCAACCAAACACGATTCTGTCACTGTCAAATCAACTTTACTTTTCTACTCTAAGGAAGAACACACATAAAAATGAGTATCACTGCATACACAGCTGAGGAAGAAGCAGAAAGTCTCTGGCCAGCACCATGGCACAGCATTGTCCTCCAGGCCAGAAGCTGTGCTGCCCAAACACAGCTCTCCCAGCAGCCTGATAGACTTAACCTGCTGGGACACAATGCCCCAAGCCATGGCTGCTTTTCCACCGTGTTAATATTTACCCATTCTTAGCAAAGTCAGCAGCAAACACCCTCCAGCAGAGCAGCACAGGGAGGGTAAGCCCACTTTTCACGTAACATGTTCACATACCACATGACAAGAGAGGTCTAAATTGCCAGACAGGCAGGTTATCTGGGGATCAATACAGTGATTAAACCAGCCTACGGAGATAGAAGAAGGCAGAGAGGATTATACACACAGCTGATGATATTATGGGGAAGGCTGGAAGAGGAAATTAGAAACACATTAAAATAGCATGGAAGTGTGATGCAAAGATGGTGGAAAATGAAACACGTATCTCTGCACTCAGCTCAGGACAACGTGGATCACCTGCATTTCCTTAACGTACACTTTGATATTGAGTTCTTGGATGAAAGAAAGGGCGTTTTATCCTTCTCCGAATGTTGCGTTTCTCTTTCAGACCTGGGTTGGAGAACTTAAAGAGCCTTTTCCTTCTCCAAACCAATATTTGAATATATGTATTTTATATATTTTACATAATGTGTCAATAATCTTTGATATGAAACGGGCATTTGATATTTCAGCTCTCACTTCATTAAGGATATTTTAATTATCCCAGGCCAATGGAAGGAAGTTTATAAACATCTGTGCTTCGTTTAAGAGCCCAAATTTCCCTCTTAAACTTCAAAGCTGTAAAGCTGATTTTATCCAGGTTCAGTTGTCTGGTCCCTCCAAGAGCACAGAGCTGGGACCAGCATTAATTGGATTGAGCTTCCAGCCACTGCCCCCCAGCCAGCAGACACCACACACCCACCATGGACGTGGTGGTCTCACTGGTGTGAGCAGGAGGGAGGATGGCAGTGGTTAGGGGCTCAGGGAAAGGCACCCACCCACCCACCTTTCTGTAACTGCCCAAGTCACAGCTGGATCTTCACTTCCACCTTCAATAGGTGACCAGGAAGAGGTGACCTTACTAATTACATAGCCATGAAGCATCAGGACACCTTACTGACATCTTGAGGAGATCCAAAGACACAGATCGTATTGATGACCAATGTTGTTGACCCTAAGGGTCTTGAGTGCTCAACTCACTTCTCAAAAATGAAACTTAAGTGTTTTTTTTCTTGAGTTTGTTTTGGTTTTAAATTAACCCTGTCTCTCTAAACTCCACATCAGAAACAACCAAGACGGTTTGCTGTACTCAAACCATCTTTACTTTATGAATTCCTACAGAAAGCAGAAAAGCTCACCTTTAAATTCCTGAGTGTGGGCAGCAGGGGATGAGCAGTACCTACAGCTCAGCTAGGCTGAACACACCCCTGTAAGCCCACCTGGAGCAGGAAGCTGAGCTGACCCAAGAGTTATCACCCAGACCTACTGACCCCAGAGGAACAGCCACCCCCAGAACCACTGCCCCCATTACCTGCTAAGAATCGGAGCTGGTTCCTCACTCGCAGCTCTCCATCCCCAGAGCCTCTGCCACAGTCATCTTCATCATCACAGTCTCCACTCTCCTCTTCCTCCTCCTCTGGGGTTTTGCCTGTAGCTTTTCGGTGGGGCAAAGCCATCCCTTTGAGCAGCTGGAAGACGAGATATTGTGATTACTGAACAGCTCCCACTACCCTCCCTTACTTCTTCATCTCCTGCTTGCAGGAGTGAGTGACAGGGCTCCATGGAAACACAACAGTGGGCTAGGTTGGATATTTGAAACATTTCTTCTCAAAAGAGTGGCAATGCGTTGTCACAGGCTCCAGCAGGGAGGTGGTAGAGTCACTGTTCAATAAACATGCAGATGTAGCACTGAGGACATGGTTAGTGGGCATGGTGGTGGTGGGGTGAGTTGGACTTGGTGATCCTAGAGGTCTTTTCCAACCTGAATGATTCTATATGACCCTGGTGCATGCCTCATGCCAAAGCACTGAAGGGCTCTGGTTCATTCATAGGCAAACATGCACACAAAACCTCAACCAAACACACAGGAGGAGGAAATAAAACCATCCTGAGAAACTCCATGCCTTGGCTTCTCCCTGGGAGAAGGGCATCTACCAGCCAACAAAGCCCACAGGTCAGCAGCAGAATGCACTTTCAGAGCTGAGCCAGATGAGTCCTATGTGGGGGCAAAGTCCCCCAGGAAGTCACACATAGAAGCAGTGGCACAGCTGAGCCCCGGCCAGTGGTCAAGGGCAAGCCGAGCTCAGCCCCAGGCTCGGTTACTGCTGCACCACTGCAAGTCTTTGTGCTGCCAGTTCAACACAAAGTGATCTGTTGGAAGGCACCATGAAGCTGCTCTCAGGGATTACGGCCCTTCTGAGGAGTAACATGTGGGACAAGAAATGACAGATCCCTCTGGCACTGCTTTGGGAAACCAGGACAGCTCTGTATGCTGCAAATCCCACAGCAGAGTGCCCTCGTCCCAGCATCACCCTGCCTGGGGCGGGCAGTGATGGGAGCACCCAGAAGATGCTCACAGAGATGAGCTTCTAAAGTGCTGGATTAAGGCAGGATTTGACTTCACCAGGTAAAGCAATGCAGTGAAAGAACCCATAATCCACACCAAGCAATTCCGACATTTCCAAGCAAAAACAAAATCAACAAAAGACAGCTCCAGAGCTTTAAGGTCCTAACTGCTTCTGACAGGTTGCACTTCACTGAACAGGGGTTGGATACCTGCACTGATGGTCAGGGCTGCTCTCAGCCACAGGTGGGAGCTCTCAGCACCATCTGTGCAGCGTGTGCAGGATGAGACATATTTAAGACATTGCCTTCCTCTTCCCACTGACTTTCCTTATTTCGCTCTCGCTGAAAGAACCCAGTTATTTCATCACCAACCCAGCTTCTCTTTGAAAAAGTGTGAGTCAACCCATTAATATAGGCTAGAAAATTTCTATCGCTATTACTATGCCATTAAAAGCCTCTCAAATTTAATCTCTGCATTTTAAAAAAAAAATAATAAAGAAAAAGGATAAGTAACAGAGAAGATATTGCAAAATGGGAGCCTTCTGCTTACTTCAGGGCTTTAGTTGGTTCCAGCTATTGCAGCAATATGCGTGTCTTTCAAGGCATTTTTTAATATCTGGAATCTAGGTTATATTTTTAAACTATTAAGCAAGTCTTAGAAAACAGTTCCTAAAATATTTAGCTGCTGAAGTTTATACAGCCTTAGAGGAATGCTTTCAGCATCTGGCTCTCTGTCCACAGCAGTGTCCACATACCTTATTGTTTATATTAGAGCAGCATAGTGTAATGAAAAACAAATGGCTCAAAGTGAGACCACTCCAGCTCCCTGCTGCACCCTGTGGGGAGCAGCACTATGGCACAGCTCTGCTTCACGGGTCCACATGGAGCATCACCCATGGGTGACAAAGGGACATGGCAAGGATGAGGGCTTTCCCTTGTGTGTCCTCAAAGGCAATGTTAGCCTTGCATACCTGAATCAGAGAGCATGGCCCCACAGCAGTGCTAGCAGGTGAAGTGCAGCTCATCTCCCCAAAATACAGAGAGATGTTTTCATGGCCATCAGCATGCTTTGGCTCAGACCGCCCAAGCTCCCAAATCCAGAGTCTTATTTTATTTAGATGTTTGCAGGCCTTTCCCAGAACACTGCGTGACCACAAGAAGAAAAAAAAATGATCTACATATATACACCAGTACAGAGCTGGGCGTAGCATGGGGCAGACCTCACACAAACCAAACACGGCGGCTGCTCTGCCCTTATCGCTCCGTGCATTTCCCCCCTCCAAAGTCAGCTCACGGTGCTTAGGAAATGTTTGTACAAGTCGTGCTCAGAGGCACAGCACGCACTTGTTCTTGCTGCATGCAGACCCGGTGGTTCTCACGTTGTGGGACCAAGGAGCACCATGGCTCATCCAGATGCATGCCAAGAACAGGCAACATCCATCGAGTCCTGCAACACTGTGAGTGGAGACTTCAGCAATAAGTAAGCACACCACAGATATAGACTTTGTCAACGACACAGCTAATAGCATAGCTCAGATCAGAGCATATCAATACAGTGAGCGTGCCCCACACAATTTAGGACTCGCTGCCTCAGTGCACCAGCACTGCAGGATGCTCCCTTTGTGCCTGAAGCATGAAGCGCACCAGCAGGAACCTCACCATGCACCTCAGCAGCATAAATTCCATTACCCAGGAAGAGGCATAAGGAGCTTTCTGGCAGAGAGAATTAAGTTTTGGGATATTTTCAGATTTAATAAGCTCAGCAGGGGCGGGAAAATATCAGAATTTTTCAGTTGTTTTCATACATTAAAATCTCTCTTTCTCATATTACTATTTTTTTTCTTGGCATGCTATAAATTAGCAGCTTAATTTCTCAACCTTTGTAGCCACAATGAAATGGGAACTTCCCGAGAAACAACACATGGGTCTCAGCGTAGCCAAGCACAAGCTGACCACAGTGTCTGATAGGCACAGTGATGCTTGTGGGCATCAGGATAGCCTCAGCCCTGCAAACCTGCCTGGGCATCAGCTCACCCATGTGGCAAGATGTTGTACTGAGGGACGTGGTTGAGTAGGAAATGTTGATGATGGGTGGACAGGTGGACTGGATGATGTTGGAGGTCTTTTCCAACCTTGGCGATACCGTGATTCAAGGGTCACTGACATAGTACGAAGCACAAGAAAGTCCTACCAGGAGAGCAGGGCCAGCAACATCTCCCACCATGTCCTTCCCTGCTAGCACAGACAGGAAACCTAGTGATGGGTGGGAATCCTAAAGTACAATCTTGGGGCATTCAGATAGAGAGCGCTGCTGGGCGCCATGGCTTCAGCTGGCACAACATTGTGGCCTCACTGAACCATTGCACAGCCACCAGCACGGTCTGTGTGCTTTATGAAGTTATATTCAGAGCGCTGAACATAGCTTCTCCATCCTTAAATAGCAAACAGAGCTGACTGTTACCCTAACATTATAGTTAATTCATGTCCTGTGGTGTACAGACTATGGTAAGAGACAGAAAATACATAGTCTGGTGATCACTAAAGTAGTACGTGAAGCGAGATAGCTTCAACTTAATCACAATTCACTCAGCTGCAAGAGTTTACAATCATATCTGCTCTTCTCTGCTAAACCATAATGGCAAAAATACACTGTAATGTACCCAACGTAAACCAGAGTGCTAATTGTGGGAGCCCGTGCACATGCACACGTCTCAGAGGTGTCTGTGGGGCACCCATCTCCCATCTGCACCATAACCATGGGAAGAAGCACGTGGGCCACATCCTACACTCCCAACTACAAGATCCACCAGCTCAATCATGCGTCGGATTTGTGTCCAATCTCACTGCTTTCACATCCTACCCTCACTCCAGACACACGGGCATTGGCACGAGGGATGTTGGAATGCCCCAGCTGGTTTCCACACAAATATTTGTTCCTCAGTTTGTCCTGTGATCTCCCAAAAAACAAAACAAAACAAAACAACAAAACAAAACAACAAACCAAGTGAGATCGGAAGAGCGTGCCGAGCATTTCTGCAAGGAAAGCTCCCCAGGGCGTCCCAGTGTGATTTATACCATTATTCATAACCACGCAGTGACCAGACACAAACAGATGCAGCAATGTGGGGTAATGACTCAGCTGAAGTTGGACGGGTGACCGTATGTTGAAATCTTTATAACTCCTTGTTCTTAACAACCACTTCACTCAGAGCTCCCCATCCCACCAGCCCCCTGAGCCACCTGGTCTTGTTTTTCCAATTTTAACCTAAACAAGGAAGGCTACAACATACTTTTTTATCATTAATCTCCCGTCTCTGAAAAGAAATCAGCGTTGTATTCCTTGGACTGCAGTTCAACAGTCGTTTTCTCATTTTGGAAACTATGCTCGCAGTATTGCAAATATCAATTTGAGCAATACCAAAATTGTGTCCACAAATTCAGATGAAATATCGGCCGTGTGATACAAGCACTGTGCTCCTTTAGGGCAGAAATCATCCCTTTCAACAGACTTCAAAAATATGTAAAGCAAAGAGAACAGCCAAACAGATTATTAAGGAGAATAGAAGACTTAAAAAAAAAACATTTAATTCCTTCATGAGTTTAGGGGAGAAGTCTGATTGATATTTGTAATCTTTTGGTGGACAGAGCTGTCATTTAATTTAGCTTGCATGACTGAAAGAATTTAATAAAAGTGTTCCACTGAGTTTTGCTGAAATTCTTTGCATGTTTTTAGTAAGCCTCTGGAATACGATCAAACCTAAAAAGCTGGAGAGGACGGGGACTGATCTCGCAGCTAAAATAATATTCAGAATTGCAATATACATTTAGAAATCAAGCATTCACATCCAAAGAGCTCTTCTACAGGAACTCTCTGGGTGCTCAGCCACACAACGCTTCACATCATGAACCAAACCCAGCATGGCCAACCAAACACTGGCTGTGCTGGGAACCTTCCAGCCACTCTGCTCAAGGGCTGCGCACAGAACATTGGATGCCATCCTTCCAGAGGTTTGGTAAGGAGCTCAGAGGAGCAAAGCTGTTCTTTCCCCTCGTTTTCAGACACCCAACACAAAGGCCACCACACATTCCACCCAACTCTTACAAGTCCCAGCAGGTCAGGTTT